GGAGTAAGCCTCCTTTTTGGCAAGGAGACATTCCCGGTTATATCAGTCATTATATCAGTTTTGTGATATAACTGCAAATTTAAAATACATCTGAAAAATAGATTTGAAAAATATATCAAAATAAATCATTGCTTTAAAATGTATAAAGTGTACCTTCTAAAAATAAAATCTACATCTATTTTTGAGTTGTGACTAATATGTATTAAGGTTATATCAAACAACAAAAATACACCATTTGTAGAAAACAATGATTAAATCAAGGCTTCCTGACCAGTGATTTAAATCAATTTGATTTAAATCAAACCCACCCTTGTCCTGATGTGACAGAAGAACGGAAAGCATAACAGGAGGCCAGCCTGGTTAGACAGTGGTCTCTCCAATGAGCCAAAACTCAGAAAAAAATCCTATAAAAAGTGAAAGCTTGGCCATAGAAATGGGTATAAAAGTATCACATAGGCATGCAGGGAGAAAATGAGGAAGGCCGAGACAAAGTTTAAGATGCAAGTGGCCAGGGACATAAAAGGCAAAAAAAGGAGTGCACTGATAGAGATTTTTGGGGCCAATACCGATTTGATTTCCAATATGCAGCCCAGCAGCTTGAAGAGCTGCATCCAGCTGGTAAGTATGCTGTGGTGGAAGGGGAGGGGGACAGGAAGGGCCTCTGTGGCGAGGGAGGGAGTGGGACTGGGGCAGCCGGGGCTCCCACTGCTGTGCGCACCCCGGGAGGGCATAGGGGGTGTGTGCCCCCTGGATGTGCAAGTGGGGGAGGGCGGGCTGAGGCCAAGGCTATGCCAGGATCTTCCTGGAGGGGGCGGAGCCAGGCTGTGCTCTTCACTGCCTATGTGCTGCGCTGCAGCTGCACACATGCACGGGGCATTTATTGGCCAAATTATTGGCCACAACGGGCAAAAAAAAGCTGATTTCCAATACAGTAAATTTTCTTTGCATCAGTGCATCTCTCATAAAAAGGGATTCTACAAGGGATGTCAAAAGTAAAAGGAAAACCAAAGAAATCATAGGACCCCTAGCAGAATGCAGAAGGCAATCCAGTTACAAGTAATACAGATAAGGCTAAAGGGTTTAATACCCTTTAACTTCAGTCTTCACAAATAACGGAAGCTATTAGAAGATAACTAGAAGATAGAGGAGGAGACAAACAACCTAGAGCAGAGGCATAACAGGTCACCTAGCAAAGCTAGATGCTTCAAGCTGGCTGGGCCAGATGAGATGAACTCTAGTGGCTTTCAGCCTGCGGTCTGCAGATTCTGTCTAAGAGTTCCATGAAAGACTACTATGATTAGGGATCTACTTAAAGCATGCAGAGGGGAAGTAAAAATCATGGACTGCTTGAGGTACCTGCCACCATTTTTGCAGTGAACCACCTTCCCCCCTGCATCTGACTGACCAATGGGACCTGTGGTTCTGCCCCTTGCTGTTGACTGGTAGAGACAAGTCAGCCGTCCCAGTCAATCAGCAGCAGAGGGGGCAACCACCATCTTGGCTGTTCTTCTTCATGTCAGCGGCCACTCCCTCCCCTCAGGCCATGAGTCCGAGCTGCAGCAGCTGCTGATTCCCTCTGGGGAGACAGGAGTTTATTTTTAGTAAGTTTTTTTTTTCCTGGTGATTCCGCAAAAAATAAAATAAAATAAAATAATCAGGGAACACCAGTTTTCGCTGTTTCCTTGAAAATCACAAATTGAGTGGATCCCTAACTTTCATCATTCAAAAGTATGTGAATACCCACACTTATAATTCGAAGGGGTCTATAACTTCATTCAACAATTTTTAGGGGTCCAGAAATGAAAGAAGTTGAAAATCACTGTTCTAGGATACTGAAGAAATTGGCTGAGGTAATTTCAGAGCTACTAGTTATCCTCTCCGGGAACTTGTGGAGGCCAGGCAAGGCCCCAGATGATTGAAAAATGGCAAATATAGTGTCGATCTTTAAGAAGGATGAAGGATGATCAGCGAAATTACAGAGTAGTCAGCCTGACCTCAATACCTCTGGAAAGATCATGAAGCAAACAACTCAAGGAATCTTCTGTGAAGCACACAGAAGAGCACAAGGATTGTCTCTTGTGCTCTTCTAAATGCAAGTATGGATTCATCATGAGCAAGTCATTCCTGAACAACATGATTTCCTTCCATGATTAAAAAAAACAGATTATGTGGATGAATGATGAGCAGTAGATGTGATACTCTTTGGCTATGGCAAGGCTTTTGACACTATCTCCCAGGACATCCATAACAAGT